CCTTTGTGGTAGGCAAAGAGAGTCTCATCTCCTATGGCAAGGTGGCTGTAAAATTTAAGGACCAAGCTGAAGACATAATTATAAGGGTAGTCAAGCTCTGAAGAAGGTTAACCTAAGAAGTTCTATTATCCCATTGTCAAGATTCTAGTTGGGACATATGACAGAGGGACATCCAGGTAGAGGACTGTGAAAATCTTGAATCCTCAAACACAACTAACCACAATGAGCCTTCAGAAGGGGCCCTTCCATGTAAATAGACAGCATTCTCCCTTGCTTGAAGATGATGCAGAGATAACATATGTCACCTCCACTCTGTCCCCAGGTTCTGTCTTCCCCTTGGTCAGTAGGCCAATAGCCAGGATTAAGTTAGAACATAATCTGACCATAGGAGGTTACAGCCTGGGGTCTGTCCAGAAAACATCCAGCCATGCATATGAAAAATAGAGACATTTATTGAAGAAGATACAAGATAAAATAAACATTGTACATAGGACAATGATGCCTAAGTCCCCTTCAAAGTAGGCACTTTGAGACCTCGCTCAGTTCTCTCAATTGCCATCAGCTGCCCCATTGTATTTTCCTGAATCTCATTGACCACCTGAAATCTCTTACTTTCGAAGCCGATTTTAGTTTTGGGAAAAGCCAGAAGTCACAGGTCACCAATTCTGGGCTGCAGTGGGGCTCAGTCACCTGGGTGGTTTGATGTTTTGCCACAAAATTGCATGAGACGTGATGCATGAGCAGGCGCTTTGTTGTGATGAAGCTGTCAGTCACCAGCTGCCCATAGCTGTGGCCTTCTGAATCATCCTAATAGTTTCTGTGAAGGAATGTTCAAGCTCAACATAAAATTTGATGCAGATTCATTGCTCTACTAGCTCAGTCATTTTGAATGTGACGGCCACACAGTATGCATGCTCACTCAATGGCATCTACTGCCCCTACTAACTAGTACAGTTATTCATGCCTAACATCATTCATGCATGTGCATTACAGTCCATTCTCCTTGGCTATCAGGTTTCACTGATGTTACACAACCATTCTCATTATATTAACAATGTTTAGACTTTTTCTGGATAGACCTCTTATACCTGGGTCTATGAAGGAGGGGAAAGGGATTAACAGAGGAACTTCAGGACCTACTAGCATGTACCAGCAGAAGTTAGAAAGGTGCCCTTGGGACTGCATTCTGACACTGTTCAACCAAGTAAAAGGAACATAAATGTGGTCAAAAGGGACCATCAATATGGGATAGTGTTACAGAATGCAGGTATTAATACCCTGGCCAGGACCTCAGGAGAATCTGTGAACAAGCCGGTATGATGACACCTAGAGACAGGGAAAAAGTGATGCTCTACATTAAGTGAAGACTAAACGCCAGAATGGTCATGACAGGAGGTGAAAAAAAGAAATTAAAAGGCTCAGAGAATTGGACAAGTTAGAGTGGATGTGCAGTAAAAGATCAGAAAACCCATTAGATGACTATATCTCATAAGAGGGCCAGGAGGATACATTATTTACCAGAACAATAAGGGATGTACTGGTGGGAAAAGTGCCAGCTTCAGTAGAAATTTTGGTAGTGCTTCTCTTCTGTAAGTCAGGGCTGATGGTGTGAGAAGCTATTATAGAAGTAGGTTCCATTAACACATAGTAAGAAATCCTAGTGCATTTTGACTGCAGATAAGAAGCCAGGTGGCAGCATTTTATACTCAGAAGCCAGGTGATCACAATTATTAGATTAAGTGGCACGGCTGAAAGATCAGCCAGGGGCCTGACTTTGAGAAAGTTATGGAGGTGGTTAAAAGAACGCGGCATCCTTAGGGCAAAATATATGGGCACCAACATGAGTACAAGTCTGTCTATAAAATTACAAAAAATTGAGGATGATGATCAGAAGGCTAAGGGAAAGCATTCTGATAAAAATCATAATCCTCTGTCTGACATCCAGTTTTCAGACCCGGCCCCATTGACTAATGAGGAGACTGTTTTAGAGGAAGGCCCCTGCAATGTCATGGCAAATACACATGGCAATTTGTTCTTCCCTTTCCCAAAGGGACTTATTGTCATTTGCTAGGGAAAGAGGATTATTCAAGCATATTGAGGACTGTTGGATAGAGAGTCCAAGTTGATATTGATGCCAAAGTGTCATCGTGGTCCCTCTGTTAGAATGGGAACATGTGATAACCAAGGTAAGCCTGCAGTGGATCCACAGTATTTGTAAACCCAACTAGTGGTCATTTTCCCAGATCCCAATTTACAATTGTAATAGATGTACTTGGGAGTTGGTACAGCCCTTACATTGGGTCCTTGGTCTGAGGAATAAGAGCTTTCTAATGGGAAAGTCCAAGTAGAAATTTATTGAACTACCTCCTCTCCTACCCCTGTTTCAAGATAGTAAATAAAAAGAAACCATAGTGCAGTATGAATGGGTGAAATTAGTACCACCTTTAAAATCCATTAAAGGATAGAGAAATGAAGATTCCCATATCTCCATTTAATTCAGCAATCTGGACACTGGAAGTATAAGACATATCCTGAAGTACAGAGTGGATTACTATAAACACAACCAGACCTCAGACCTAATGGCAGATGTGATATTTTTGCTAGAGTAGGTTAAGAGCACACCAAATAGAGGGTCTGCAGTTGTTAATCTAGCAAACTAATTCTTTATCATCCTTAGGAAAAGAAGAAAAAAAAGTTTCATTTACTTAAAAATGACACAGGTCTGTTTTTTAGTACTTTGGCCCTCTGACAAAATATAGTCTGAAGAGGTGTAGACTATCCGAACATACACATAAAATGTAACATTTGTTCATTTTATTGATAACATCAGGCTAATGGAACCATATGAGCAAAATTAGGTGCTAGCTGAAGGCTTTGTTAGGAAGTATGTGCTCCAGAGAGCTGGAGATGAAGCCTGTAAAGATTTGGGGCCTTCTACATGAGCAGAATTTTAGGTATCTAATATTTACTGCATGATGAGAATCACCCTTCCTACTTCAAGAAAGAGCAAATAATTGAAACTTCTAGTTCTGAACTTAACGATGGAAGCAAAAGGCCTGGTATGCCTCTTTGGGCTCTAGGCTATATTCTATATTTGGGAAACATATCTGGAAACACTATTCTGGAACAAACACCAGAAGGTGTGAAAGACTGTCAGCTTTTAAAGGTTTCTACTTTTGGCTGGTGCCTGGGTACTTAGAATAGCTGATGTCAAGAAACCAGCAGGTAATAATATGAATCACTGTTTTGGCAGGAGTAGATAAGGATGATGTTACATAATGAGAGAAAGATGAATACACTTAGTGACCAGATGACACATTCGGACAGCTTTTAGTTCTCCTATACCAAATTTTGACAGTAAAAGGACAAGTGTAATAACCCTGGTCTGAGCATGTCATGGTAACCAGAGAAGAAATTCAACCCCCCAGGAAGGAAGATCTGATTCACTTCACCATGTACATCTCCAAACCCACAAGAGGTTCTAGCTGAGGATAAGAGGGATTAATTTATAATAGAGAAAGGAGATACTGAGGATAAGTTATTGGCCCTAGACAAGCTTCAAAGGTGGGGACTGCAGTTTATCACACTCATATTTTTCCAAGTTTTCCCCCAGCTTAGAAGCCCACTGGAATGCTAGAAAGTTGCTCCCAGAATCCAAATGAAAAAGTGAATCTGAGCAGCATAAGGGGTGGACTGTGATAAATACTGTAACGTTCTGCACAGATCCCTCTTCAGGAATGAGGGGCTTGCTCCCCAAACTTCTAGGAGTGGTGTGGAAGACAGCTCTCAACTATAAGCCTCTATTGGAGAATTGCATCTACTGAAACACCTGCCTCACTCAAAGGCACACTTCTTTCCAGGGAAGCCTGAATCCAATCAGATCAGACAGAGGGAATTAAGTCCTGGCACTCTTGCCCTAAATGGGACAACTCTGAGGGACTATCCCACCTCCAGAGCTCCCCCTGGGGACATTTTAGATTTTTAGTGAGACTATATCACAGCTCAAAATCTCAATCCCATTTCCTTCCCTGTCCTACAGGTTTTGATTCCAAGACTCCTTTCAAGTAAACATCTTGCATGTAATTGCTTTTCTGGGTGTTTGTTTCACAGAGAACTCAAGCTGTACCAACATAATATACTGATAATATAACTGAAACTGTAACTGTTATGAATTTATATATATATAATAAATGCTGATAAAATTACAAGAAATCTAGAAATATATAATACTTGTGTAAAGATTTTAACACTTATTTTAGAAACTGATAGATCAAGAGATCAATATTGTAACAAGGCAAAAGATTTGAACAATTGTTCTCTCTCACATGACATAAGCGATGTGACATAATGGAACATATATAACATAATAACATAACATAACATAGCTATATTTTTATATCCAAGAAGTAGGGAGGGCATACAATTTTAAAGCATGCATGCATTATTTTAGAAAGTTAATCACACATGAGTTTACAAATGATCACAAAAACTTCTAAATAATTGATATCATACAAAATATTTCATCTTACCACAGCACAATAACATGAATACAATTGGACTCTTCCAAATGTTTGTTGGAAAAATAATCATCAATGGTCAAAAGAATTGAATCAGTGATTAAAATATTCTCCTTGCAAATGACATTAAGTCTACCCATTTTATGGAGATATTCTATCAAAAATTGTAACTCATAATGCCTATCTTATACAACCTTTCAGTAAATGGATGAAGAGAGAAAACTACCTATCAAGTGATATCAAAATTAGATATAGATAGTACAAGAAATGATTTTTATTGTCCAATCCTACTATGGTATAGATGAACAAATCATAACACAGTAGCAAATCCAGAATTGTACTTAGAGTGCATCATGATAAAAAGAGTTTATCCCAAGAATTTAAGGATATATTAGCAAATTTAAGGATACATTAGCATTAGACATAAAAAAAGATAAAAATAAAATCTATGGAAGAAAATCCCGGTGTTGCAACAGCGGGAAAATGCGGCCTTTGACTGAAGAGGAGACCCGTGTCGTGTTTGAGAAGATAGCAAAATACATCAGGGAGAACCTTCAGCTGCTGGTCAACAGCCCTGACGGCACCTACTGTTTCAGGCTGCACAACGACCGGGTGTACTACGTGAGAGAAAAGATCTTGAAGTTGGCTGCCAACACCTCCGATGACAAGCTCGTGTTGTTGGGGACCTGCTTCAGAAAATTCTCTAAGACCCACAAATTCCGGTTGCACGTCGCAGCTCTGGATGACCTTGCACCCTATGCCAAGTACAAAGTGTGGATAAAGCCTGGTGCAGAGCAGTCCTTGTGTTAAAATGTGGACTGGGTCGAATCACTGAAAATACTTCTCAGTACCAGGGAGCGGTGGTGCACTCCATGGCGGACATCCCTTTGCCCTCAATGCGTGCTTATTGAATGACGTGAGTGAATCAGTGCCTCTTTTGAATCCCAGAGTTTTGGGGTGGCAGCAAAGTCTACACAAGACTGCAGGAAAGTAGACCCCATGGCGATTGTGGTATTTCATAGAGCAGATGTTGAGGAATATGTGCCACACAAAAAGATATTGACTTAAAATCATCGCAAGGACTTACGGCTCTGTGGAAGGGCCTAGCTTTGTTTCCTGTGTCTTGTAGCGTCCACTATCATGTTGAATTTTGTTAACACTGTGACCTCTCCAGGGACTTCTTAGTTTTCTATTCTCTCTATTATGGACACATACAGGCCAGATTCTTACAAAGCAGAAATGGTTCAAAAATGGAGTTTTGGATCTTTGCGTTTGTTACTAAACAGAATATTGTGTTTTATATTTCAATCAGAGAGCTCCTTGTTTTCAGTAAAAGGTTCTAAATTATTGGAATTGAAGACAAGAATAGCTTTTTATTGTTATCTATGATAACACTTTTTTTCCAAACTCACAATAAGAACACAACAGGTTTTCTTATTTATTTATTTATTTACTTATTTATTTATACTATGAAAGATAGATATTGCCATATCCAAATAGTAGGCCATGCATGGGATTTTACAAGTGAAGTTTGGATAAAATACTAAGAGCAATTTATTCTGATGATTTGCCTTATTGTAGGTTCTGTGTGGTATAGAAGAAAACTTGGATTCAAAACCTAGTTCTAATACCTACCAGCTATATGATGCTTTATCTGAATCATTAAACTTTAATAAGCTTCATTTTCTTCTGTTTCATAAAACAGCTTTAGCCATCTACTTAAGAATGGGTTTTAGAATTAGAAATCATGATTGTAAAGTACCTAGCACAGGGCCTTGCAAATGATAGGTGTTAAATAAATGCTGAGAATTATTAAAAAAAAATCTATATAATTCAACACATTAACAGAAAATAGAAAAGAAAATGTAAGCATCTCAATGGATGTAAAAATATTCTCTAAAAGTCAGTAGGTCTTTGTAAATTAAGGGAAAAACACAGTACATTAACAACAGAGAGAAACAAGCTTAACCTGATAAAGAGCATCTATCCCAAACCCATAGTAATGCTGTCCTGAAGGGTCAGATTTGAGAAGCATTTACAGTAAACTCAAGACAAGAAACTAGTTACTGAAACCACTTTTGTATAGCCATTATGGGAAGCTCTAGCTTGTTCAAAAATGCAAGAAAAAGAATTAAATGATATAATTATTGGAAAGAGACACAACTGTTATTTACAGATGATATCATTGTTTGCATACAAAATACAAAAGAATCCACAGACAAAACATTTAGGATAAAAATGTTGGGGAAGTTTACTGGAAACAAGACCAGCATACAAAAATGATTATAATATGAGATTTTATTTACCAGTAATTAGAAAATAGAAAATGCTACTTTAAAAAGATTCTGTTGACAATTGCATTCAAATTTACATGTTAACTAAGGGGAAAAAAATCTAATGACATTTAATGCTTTTATGGAAGAAAATTTAAAACCATACAGTGTCAAAAATATTTTATTTATGCATATACAAGCCCACCATCATGAACATATACTGTAAATTATTCTCCAAATTGACCTACAAATTTAGTGTAATTGTAATAAAAGTCCCATTAAATCCTTTTTAAGAAATTTGATTAACTTATTTTAAGATTACTTTGTATAAGTAAATGTTCAGGAATATGCAGGACAACTATGAGAAGAACTAGGAGAATTTGCTCTCTTGGATATCAAGAATTATTTTAATTATTTAATTGTATTTAAATTATTAAAACTGTATGGTATTTCACAGAGTTAAAAATAGATTTATTAGACAGACTTGGGAGCTTAGAAATAGACCTTGGCTTATATTGAAATTTGATTTACAATAGAGGTGCCCTCAAAAATCAGAACTTATTGGAATAATTGGCTATATGTATGAAAAGAGAATTAGAGCATTACCTCTACTATATAAATACAAATCCACGTAAATTAAAGGCCTAACTTTGTTATAATTATTTTAAAATAAGGTATAAAAGGACAACTTCATGAATCTGTGGCAAAAATATATTTATATACTTGGGGGGAAAAGCATAAATTATAAAGAAAATTGATAAATTTACATTAAAAATTTAAAGTCTGAATAACAAAAGTTAACAAAGCCAGAAGACAAGTATTTTTGCAACATATGTTATAGATGAAGACTCTACCCAGAATATATAAGGAGTACTTTCCCACCTGTAAAATAAACTATTTGCCAATATCTGTTCTAATTGATATACATTAACTTAATCGCCACAATAATCCTATCTCAGTTTTACAGATGAAGAAACAGAGCCACATGGAGGTTAAGTAACACACCCAAGTACACACAGCTATTAGTGACAAATTTGGAATTACAACTCATGTTGATCAGCCACAAAGTGCTTGTTGCTGACTACCATATAGAGTTGTGTCTCCCCCTGAAAAAACAAAAACTACCCAGTTGAACAATGAGCTAAAGATATAAACAGGTTATTCGTGGAAAAAAGAACTGAGCTGACAATAAAAATGAGAAGAGGCTCAACTTTATTATTCAAAGAAATGCAATTTAAAACCTAAATGATGTTTCTCACACATATCAGAGTGGCCAAATTTTAAGAGTCTGTGAATATCAAATGGTGGACATATTTGACAAAACAGAGATTCATACCCTGCTGGATGGAGTGTCAACTGGCACAGGAACTTGGAGAGCAAGTTGGCAACATGGAGTGAAACTGACGATATAGGCACCTGATAACCCAGCAATTCCACTCCGAAGTACAGTCACATAAAAACAAATGTACCTAACAAACTTCAATGCATTTTTAAGGTAAACAATTGCAAAGCGTTTAAATTCATGGGAAAATATATTATTGTATATTAATAGGATGTAATGTCATTTAGCAATTAAAATGAATGAATTAAATGCATATGTATCAGCTTGGATGAATCCCTAAGATTGCATTGTTGAGTGTAAGTACTTTGTAGTACATATAGCTATGCAGAATATACTACATTTATGTAAGTTTTTAGGATATAAAATGACTATGTATTGTTTATGTTTATGGTACATACATATAGTATAGTCAAAGTATAAATACATGAAGGTCAGAGTTTGAACTAACTTCGCTATAGTGGTTGTTTCTAGAGGTGAACAGGACCACAGAGGCATACTGAGAAGATTTAGTCACACCTTTAATGTTTTATAATAAAAAAGATATATGATGCCCATAGAAACTATTAATTCTCTTTAGGGTACTTGGACTTTAGATTGATTACTCTCTGTACTTTTAAATATATTTTAAATATTAAAACAGGAATAAAAAACAAGAAATTTGATTATGATATAGTCTTTGTGTCAAAGAACTCATCTCTCTTCATCCTGGTACAGAGTTCTGAAAGTGAGCAGCACCTTTTTAAGTAATAACAACAACAGAGAAGAAGGCTTCCTCTCTGCCAAGCTTGTATTCTTTCCTCCTGGGTTCTGCTTTTGTCTGCAGTTGGGAAATAAACTGTACCTGAAGCAAGGCTCAGTGATCGTCTAAGCCCCTCCCAGAACAAATGGGGAAACTGAGATCGACAGTGGGAGAACTAGCCTAAGGTCAGTGTACATAGATTATATCTATATCTATATCTAGCTATATCTAGCTATATCATCTATCTATATCTATCTATGTCTATGTCTGTATCTATGTATGACTTAGACTCCAGCCTATCAGGACTTACAAAACAGATTGAAGATACAGATCAAAGTCCAGCAGAGCAAATTAGGTCTACAGACAGGTTTTGTTTGACCCATATGTTTAATTTTTTTAAAAAAATGTGAACATTATTATAAACTGGATAGAAAATCCAGACCTCTCTGACTCCCTTTTTTCTCATGTAGGCACTTTATCCACCAATGCTACCTTCCTGGACCCTTAATATACCTGCATTTCTGATCGTCATCATGGAATCTTTGACTTGGAGGTCACATATAGGCAATCAGCCCAACGTACTAATGCCCTCACCAGCAGCCCTGGCAAGAGTGGTGTGCTTGTGTTGGAATGCTCTAGGAAGCTTGCCAACTCTCTGCATAGTCCGACTCCTAGACAGCTTGGACTGTTAGAAAGTTCTGCCTTTTAAGGAGTCAAAATATGCTTGCTTGTTACATTCGACTCGTTATTCCTTGCCCAGTCCCCTAAAGGTTCATGGAAAAAAAAAAAGTCTAACTGCTGTTCTGAAAATATTTGAAGGCAGCTCTGCTTGTTCAGCCAAATTGCTTTTTTCTTCAAGATAAACATTGCCAGTTCCTCAACTCTTCTGGAATTGCTTGGTTTTTCTACGCATTGTTTACTGCATTGGCCTCTGGAGCTGTCCCCCGGAGCTGTTCCAGTTCCTCACCATCGAAGTCCAGGGAGAGTGAACGCTCCCGGTGATCACTGTCAACTCCATCTGCTACTTAGCTGGTTGCAGCTAGGAGATGTGCGTGACTTCACTCCCGCACACTTCTGCCGCCTTCTCCCCACCGTCCACATTTCCCCCTGTCTTTTCTTTCTCTTGCCTTCATCCTTGGCCATAGCCACACATCGTTTTCCCTCCAACAACAGTAAAATATGTGGAGTTTCCTAAACCGCTATTTTATATCACTATTGCATTTCATATCCTGTTTGCTAAACATAACATGGAATATTTCATTAATGATTTCTCATGGGAACTCCTATTTATTCTTCAAAACCCAACTTTAATGTCACTGTCTTTGTGAAGTTTTTCTGTGCCTTTAGCCCTTTCCTTTTTCTCTTTCACACTCCAATCTAAGTGACTTTCTCCCTTCTGAATTCTGCTGGCCTCTTTATACTCACTTCTGGTTTTACACATCTCTCACTGGGTTATAATTATTTGTATTTTACCTCCCTCTTTCATAGTATAATCTCTTGAAGGGATGATGCCTCAATTTTTTTTTCTTTTTGTAATTGCAACGCTAAGCTCAGGGACTTGCGCATGATAGGTGCTCAGTACATTCCTGAGTTGAATGTAACTCTGAGACCACTGGATATATTGTAGAGATATTGTTTGTCTTAGGGACAGCTTGAGTTTTATCCAATTAAAATTGAATTGCTTGAGAACAGGAACCATGTTCTATTTTATTTT